TTGGCTGTCATGGGCCGAATATGTCTACAACACCGCCTTCTAGACGACCCTCAAAGACACGCCCTTCAAGATTGTCTATATATGGCCGTTAGGGGATCCATCCGCTCCAACGAACAAGGGGAGACACGCATTGTTGCGGTGGCCAAGAACATGGTGGACCGCGACAAGCTGCTGGTCACGTCCCCTACTATCTCGAGCAAGCTCAGGCGATCTACATGCACCACTACGACAAGCGCCACCGGGCCATGGCCTACATCGTTGGGGACTGGGTATGGCTCCGCCTATGGCACCGTGCTCCTGCATCGCTGCAAACTCCAACATGGGGCAAGATAAAACCACGCTTCTGCGGGCCCTATCGCATCACTAAGCTCATTCACGAAGTCACTAGGTCACCGTCAGGTTGGCTCTTCCTCCCCAGGTGCGCCTACACGATGTGTTCCATGTCGGCCTCTTCAACCGCTTGCGTTAAGTTGCCTGCCTCGGTTAAGCATTAACCGAGGCGGTTGCTAGGACGGCTGCCCTGCCACGAATAATCGACGCGGGCAATCGGCCCAACCGCCTCGGAGACCATTTTGAAAACGCCTTATAAAAGATTGTGTAGTAGTGAGCCCTTCATCGGTATGCCGCTGGACGCGCCACCACCTCTGCCGACTCTACACCACGGTGTTGCAGTTCTCGAACAAGAGTGTGCCATCCACACAAGGCTAGCCCATGGCGTTCGCTAAGTCCTCATCCACTGGAAGGGCAAACTCGCAACTGTCCGCTCCCTGGGAAGATGTTGACACCTTCATCCAACGCCATCCATAGTTCCAGCTCGAGGACAAGTTCCTGGTCGAGGGGGATGTGAAAGATGTCATGTGGGGACACCACTACACCTGCAAGCGCAGCACCGAGGACGCACCCCCAGCGCGTCGTAGGCACAATCACTGCGCTAGAGACGGACGATGCAGTTCGGTTAGGAAGGAAGGATTGCTGCCTTGATTTTAGAAGATTGTTATCTCCAAATTGCTAGCCGGCCAAGGGCCTCCATAAAACTATGTATGGGACACCATTTGAGATTAAGCAATACATCAATTCACAATCACTGCGCTAGAGACGGACGATGCAGTTCGGTTAGGAAGGAAGGATTGCTGCCTTGATTTTAGAAGATTGTTATCTCCAAATTGCTAGCCGGCCAAGGGCCTCCATAAAACAATGTATGGGACACCATTTGAGATTAAGCAATACATCAATTACCCTACTCTCTTCCTACTTGCCAACATAGGGCTGCAAAGGGGAAAAAACTCACCCCATTCAACGACCACGACTATGATGTGCTTAGTCAAGGTTCAGCTACTCTGAACCCTGACGCCCTTGAAAGTGCCATCGTGAGATTTCAAGAAGACTATACGGTGTCTCGAGGAAGGTGGGGGAAGTGCATATCATCAAGAATTGGTGTGAATCAACATGGCATCATAGACTAGCCACCGAAAGTCAATGGATTCAAGACTTGACATGATCGTCGTCAAAGTCCTGGCTATAACTCTGTTCCATTATCTAAAAATCATCATCATAGTCCTAGGGTGAATTGGTGGTAGCCACATACTCATAGGCGGATGATGGGTCACGTGCTCCAAAGCAGCATGAGCACACGCAGCTCCGTGGCAGTAGTGTTTGATTAATCTTCTATAGTTTTTTGCATAGAGAAGCACCTCTATGTGTGTTCCTAGGCTTAGCGTGTGCGGTGGTCGAGGATTGATTGATCATAAGAGCAATGTACATCCTTATATTGGTAAGGTTATTAGGTAAGGCTTATAGAATCAGTACCAACCATATATGCATGGCCTGCTAACGAATCATGGATGCACATACAAGGCCAAAGCTTTGGCCAGCCAAACCTTAACATTACATACTATTTCAAAAGTATTTTAAATGACAATACTACTTAGGCAAGCATCAATATAAAAAAAGGCATATCCAGTGCAGAGAGCTCCCGCTCTGTGCGGGGTCTGGGGAAGGGTGTCAGTGGCAAGCCTTACTCTCGCCTGTGCAATGCGAGGAGATCGCGACTCGAACCCGGGACCTTCCGATCACAGGAGGTAAGACTCTACCGCTTGCACCAAGCCCGTCCTTAGCAAGCATCAATATAGCTTTAGAAAAAAGTTGGCATACATTTGCTCGCTTTTTATGTGTGCGTCTATAAACTATGCTATCACCAGCTTCTTGCGAGTTATATCGGTTATATAGAGAAGTGTGCTTGGGAGATCTCTTGCCGGTCTGTGTTCAAATCATGGTACAACTTCTAAAGGCAATGCCCAGAGGACATCTCCATAGTGGTCAAAGTGTTTTTCTTTTTAAAAAAACTATGCTATCACCATTCTTAAGAGATTGGCACATGACCTACCACTCATCTCAACTGAATTTAATTCTACAATTTTCATAGGCCCATATCAGTGCTATATATGCATATCCTATCTAGCAAGCATCTCTCTTTTCGATCTACCTTTTTTCTACTAATTCAGTTACCAATCCTCTTTGTGTGGTTCCACTAGAAATGATCAGCTCGTCCGACTGAGGTCACTTGGAACATGGGATAATCTAAGCTGATCACCAGAGAGAGCTCGTCTGATTGAGGTCACCTGGAATATGGGATAATCTAAGCTGATCACCAGAGTAGCTGACAGGCATCTAAGGCTTGATTCAGGCTAGCCCTTAAACTGGCTAGGCCATCATTTTAGGATGTTGGTAAAAATTTAAACTCGTAAAATTCAAGATGATATATTCCAAATAAAATATGGGAAAAGGAAACCAATGCAAGATCATTTATCTTTTGAAATAACATTCTATCCCATGGGCCTCGGAATCATCATCATCAACAACAACAACAACAACAAAGCCTTTAAGTCCCAAACAAGTTGAGGTAGGCTAGAGTTGAAACCCAGCAGAAGCAATCAAGGTTCAGGCACATGAATAGTTGTTTTCCAAGCACTCTTATCTAAGGCTAAGTCTTTGGGTATATTCCATCCTTTCAAGTCTCCTTTTATTGCCTCTACCCAAGTCAACTTCGGTCTTCCTCTGCCTCTCTTCACGTTACTATCCTGGCTTAGGATTCCACTACGCACCGGTGTCTCTGGAGGTCTCCGTTGGACATGTCCAAACCATCTCAACCGATGTTGGACAAACTTTTCTTCAATTGGTGCTACCCCTAATCTATCATGTATATCATCGTTCCAAACTCGATCCCTTCTTGTATGACCGCAAATCCAATGCAACATACGCATTTCCGCGACACTTATCTGTTGAACATGTCGTCTTTTCGTAGGCCAACATTCTACACCATACAACATAGCAGGTCTAATCGCCGTCCTATAAAACTTGCCTTTTAACTTCTGTGGTACCCTTTTGTCACATAGGACACCAGATGCTTGGCGCCACTTCATCCACCCTGCTTTGATGCTATGGCTAACATCTTCATCAATATCCCCGTCTCTCTGTAGCATTGATCCTAAATATCGAAAGGTATCCTTGCTAGGCACTACTTGACTTTCCAAACTAATATCTTCCTCCCCCGAGTAGTAGTGCCGAAGTCGCATCTCATATACTCAGTTTTAGTTCTACTGAGTCTAAAACCTTTGGACTCCAAAGTCTCCCGCCATAACTCCAGTTTCTGATTCACTCCTGTCCGACTTTCACCAACTAGCACTACATCGTCCGCGAAAAGTATACACCAAGGGATGTCCCCTTGCATGTCCCTTGTGACCTCATCCATCACTAAGGCAAACAGATAAGGGCTCAAAGCTGACCCTTGATGTAGTCATATCCTAATCGGGAAGTCATCCGTGTCTCCATCACTTGTTCGAACACTAGTCATAACATTGTTGTACATGTCCTTAATGAGCCTGATGTACTTCGTTGGGACTTTATGTTTGTCCAAAGCCCACCACATAACATTCCTTGGTATTTTATCATAAGCCTTCTCCAAGTCAATAAAAACCATGTGTAGGTCATTCTTCTTCTTCCTATACCGCTCCATAACTTGTCTTATTAAGAAAATTGCTTCCATGGTTGACCTTCCAGACATGAAACCAAATTAGTTCATAAAGACCCGCGTTATTGCTCTCAAGCGATGCTCGATAACTCTCTCCCATAGCTTCATAGTTTGGCTCATCAACTTAATTCCCCAGTAATTAGTACAACTTTGAATATCCCCTTTATTCTTGTAGATCGGTACCAATATATGTTCGATCGAAAAATATAGTTGAACAGCTTGGTTAGCCATACTATAGCTATGTCCCCGAAGCATCTCCACACCTCGATTGGGATACCATCCGATCCTATCGCCTTACCTTCTTTCATCCTTTTCAACGCCTCTCTGACCTCAGATTCTTGGATTCTCCACACAAAGCGCCTATTAGTGTCATCAAAAGAGTCGTCAAACTGAAATGTTGTGTCCGTATTCTCACTATTGAACAATTTGTCAAAATACTCTTGCCATCGATGTCGGATCTCATCCTCCTTCACCAAGAGATGCTCCCTTTCATCCTTAATGCACTTAACTTGGTTGAAGTCCCCTGTCTTTCTCTTACGAACCCTAGCCATCCTATAAATGTCCTTCTCTCCTTCCTTCGTACTCAAATATTGGTAAAGATCCTCATACGCTCTATCATTTGCCACACTTACAGCTCGCTTTGCAGTCTTCTTTGCCACCTTGTACTTCTCTATGTTGTCCACACTCCTGTCATAGTACAAACGTCTATAACATTCTTTCTTCTCCTTAATAGCCCTTTGGACTTCCTCGTTCCACCACAAGGATCTTTAGCCTCGCCTCCACTTCCTTTGGTTACTCCACAATATTTTCCAAGATTCTTGCAACTTCAATTTTGATAGAAATTTCATGTACAATAGCATATAGATGAAATGGCAAGATCTCAAACAAGCAACTTAATTAAAATGTCATACTGTGCACTGAACGCCAATAATTTGCCACTACATATTATCTGATATAAAATTCACAAAAGCAATCAGGTTATATAATCATTTCTCACCTTTTGTTGTAATTCGCTGATTTGTTGTGTGAATAGCTGATCCTGAAGAGATATGCAATGTATGGAAAAACAGTTATACACAAACTCAAACAAGAATCTGAAGGATGTAGAATTCCTTGAGCAGTCACCCTACCTTTGTACTAAGCACTCTATGCAGTCCTGCTTCAAGTTTCCTTTCCATTTGGTGCAATTCCTCCACACTCAATCCCTCAAGGTCTTCACCTCTCATCTGTCTACAATATCGAACAAAAGGAAGTGGAGGAAACTTTTCTCTCAAACAAATATTCTTTGAATCACATAATCAATATGGAACAAAACATAACCTAAGTCCATGAGTTGCTTCTGCAAGTTGCTCGTTCAAACCGGTATACTTGCTCTGCTCTACCTGAAAAATTATAAGGGAAAATAGGATTACTATATAAGTTAAATCAAACATTATTAATTATACATATACATATTGTTAATTCTCGTGACAGTAGTGCATGCAAACTACACTTGGAGAATAAGAAGTCCTAGACCGATTAACAATAAGATTATAAGGAATACTGAGTACTATATGGTTGTTAGAGTACGTCAGGAGCCTATTGGGCCTGGGTTGGCTGTATAGCCCATTAGTGGTAGGGTTAATTAGAGATAAGGGTCGCTTACTTAAGGGTCAAGTAAGCCTTACTTGGGAGTCAAGTAAACCTCTCTATATAAGGAGAGGAGATGTATCGATCTAATCGAGCAAGAATTAAGAAGGAAACCCTTCCCTCTTGCCCGGCTGTGGGCAAACGCCCCGCGGCCGGCTCTCTCTCACCCTCGCAGCCCTAGCCTTGAACAGTACCCGCGGTACTGTAGCCCACGGGTATTGTAGCGCGTCGGCCGCCGTCGCTCCCCTCGACTCTCTCCCTCTCAATCCTCTAGCCACATAACAATCTGGTATTAGAGATCTCGGTTCCGATGTCGACCTCGCTGCCCACCTCCACCACTCCGCCGTCGGCCACCCACGCCGTCGCGCAGCTGCCTGACCCGCGGACGTCCTAGCCGGTTCTGCCCGCGGGAACCCTGTCGCTCGTTCCCGAGACCTCGCTGTCGATGGCCACGGGGGCGTCTCCCTCCGCCATTGGCGTCATGTCGAACGCCGAATTGACGGCAGCGGTGCTCGACCTCGGCAAGATGGTGGCCGGGATTCATGCATTCCTTTTGGGACCGCAAGGACCGCAGCCGATCCCACCACCGCCGCCCACGTAGCAGCAACTGCCGCCGCCACCGCTTCCGGCTTGAATCGCCGGTTTGTCGAAACCCATCTACACGGCGCCCAGTACCCAGCCGCACCTACCGCCGCTCCCGACCACCGGGGCTGTCATGGCGCATGGCCAGATTGTTATGTGGCTGGAGGATTGAGAGGGAGAGGCGAGGGGAGCGAGGGCGGCTGACGCGCTACATTACCCGCGGCGCTACAGTACCCGCGTGTACTGTTCACAGCTAGGGCTGCGAGGGTGAGAGAGAGCCGGCCGCGGGGCGTTTGCCCACAGCCGGGCAAGAGGGAAGGGTTTCCTTCTTAATTCTTGCTTGATTAGATCGATACATCTCCTCTCCTTATATAGAGAGGTTTACTTGACTCCCAAGCAAGGCTTACTTGACCCTTAAGTAAGCGACCCTTATATCTAATTAACCCTAACACTAATGGGCTATACAGCCAACCCAGGCCCAATAGGCCCCTGACGTACTCTAACAATGGTACTATGAAGAAACACTTATTAGTTCACCAACGTGTATCTTGACATATCACGTTGAAGGAAAAAAAGGATAGCTTGATAAATTTATCAGTCAATTCCTTCTCTTCAGAAGGTAAACATCGATTTTTCTACAGATGGTTATATAAAAGTAGTTGTAGACACTAAAATTGCTCATGAATAATTGATCAAACAGAAAAGAGTACTTTGCAATCTTTATTCAATGTATCTCTCCCCTTATTTGAGTATGCCTTCCAATGCTCATGTACTCTAATCAATGATACTTTATACTAAGATCTATGAAAGTTTGCATCAGCTAACAATTGGCCAAAGATGCATGAGTTAATCACAAGGAACTACAAAAAGGTAGCTCATTAAGTCATTTGCACAACAAAAATGTAGTTGTTGTATGTGGACCTACTAGACTTCCCATATATTTCTAACTTTTTTTACATCTGTCGTTCCTGTCAAAATGCTTTACACTACTAGCCTACTAGTAAGAAAAGATCAAGGAAAAAAGAAAGAAAAATATTGCTAACATAACATACATTCAAATCAATAGGAGGCTGCTGATGTGATTTCCCCAGATTCTTAGAATGTGTACTGTACTTGTCAATGATATCATCCATACTGTTCACAAAAGCAAAAGCAAACAGTAAATAATGAAAACATACAAAGGAAGCTTAGAATGGCAAGGAGGATATGAAATTTGAAAACACAGAAATATAGCAATGTCAGCATCTTCAGGAGTCAGCTTGAAATGCAGAAGTTTAATAGGAAAACAATTCGGTTCCAGTAGGAATTAAGAAAAACATTCCATGTTGCAACCAGGTCTAAGGTCAGTACTATGCTAGAGGCATTTGTGGTGTCATATATATTAGTAGCCTCGGTCTAGTCTTTTAGTATTATGTATAAGTCACATACAGTGTTGGACATGGAAATGTATGGATTAAGTGACATGCATGTATTAATTATCAATCAAGGCAGACATAAGGTAAAACAGCTAGCTAGAAAATCAGATTAAATCACATAACATATACCTTTTTCACTCAAACACAAGAGATCTACAAGTCTTTGTATTAAAAGAGAGAATGAATCGAGTGTGTTGGCCTGATTGGATCTCAGATTCAGATCTGGAACTACCAGAGGGCAGCTTGGCCCTTGGCCTCTTGGATTGAATGGAAAAATGCAATGGCCTAATTTTACAATGACACCCCCTTGCCCTTTATAGGCAAAGGGGACTCCCACTTGCTACAGCATATTTCAACCACTAAAGTGGATGCAGAGCATATTTCTAACACTAGGCTTGAAAGCCAAGAAAAGTAAAAAAGTGAAGGAAAAGTAAGATACAAGTGTTTTAGCACTAGGCTTATCTATCAATCTCCCCCTAAGCCTTGTGCCGAGCACTGGAGGTGATCTGCTGTAGCCCAATCCTCTCCCTCATCTCCTGAAACTTAGACTTCCCCAGCGACTTGGTGAGAATGTCAGCCAGCTGATCAGTAGTGGCAATGTGGCTGGCCTTGATACTACTGTCCTCCAAGCAATCTCTGATGAAGTGGTACCTGATGTGGATGTGCTTGCTTCTTTCGTGGAAGACAGGGTTCTTGGCCAGAGCTAGAGCAGACTTGTTGTCTACCTTCAGCTCAACCACATCCACCTTCCTGCCAAGGAGCTCTGGCAGCATCCTTGACAGCCACAGCGCCTGTGTTGCGACAGTGGTGGTGGCGATGTACTCCGCTTCACAGCTTGAGAGGGCTACCACCTTCTGCTTGAGGGACTGTCAGCTGACCAAGTAATCACGGAGGAAGAACATCGTCCAGGTTGTGCTCTTGCTAGTATCCACATCGCCAGCGAGGTCGCTGTCGCAGTAGCCGACAAACCGTGCCGTGTCGAGGGCCCTTCCGTAGTCGAGGGTGCCCGCCACGTAGTGCAGGATTCGCTTGACGGCCTGCAGATGCACCATCGCCGGCCGCTCCATGAACCGGCTCATGTACCCGACGGCGAATGCGATGACTGGCCGGGTATGGACCAGGTAGCGCAAGGTCCCGATCAGCCGCCGGTAATGGGTTGGATCGACCTCCTCCGCCGTGCTCTCCCGACTCAGCTTGAGCTTCTCCATTGGGGTGTGGGACGGATTGTAGCCTGTCATGCCGCCGAGCTCGAGGATGCGCTTGGCATAGTGGGTTTGGCGAAGGGCGATCCCGGTGGCATCCTGGCGCACTTCGACACCAAGGTAGAAGCAGAGGAGGCCGAGGTCGCTCATGTCGAACGCCTCCTTCGTCTGTGCCTTGAACACCTCCACCTTCTGCTCTTCAGCGCCGATGATGATGAGGTCATCGACGTAGACGCCGACCAGTAGAACGTTGCATCTGCTGCCCCGCCGATACACCGCCGCCTCATGCGTGCTCTGCTTGAAGCCCATCTTCTTGAGTGTGGCGTCGAGCTTCGCATTCCAGGCGCGTGGTGCCTGACGCAGGCCATAGAGTGCCTTGCACAGGCGGTACACCTTCCCCTCTTCTCCGGCGACGGCGTAGCCAGGTGGCTGGCGCACGTAAACCTCCTTGAGGTCGCCGTTGAGGAAGGCGGACTTCACATCCATGTGGTGGACTTGCCACCCCTCCTGAGACGCCAGCGCGAGGAGGACACAGACTGACTCCATGCGCGCCATGGGGGTGAAGGCGTCATCGTAGTCGATCCCCTCCTACTGAACGAAGCCGTGCGCCACCAGCCGCGTCTTGTGCTTGATCACCACGCCCAGCTCGTCCTTCTTGAGCTTGAACACCCACTTCAGGATGATAGGGCGGTGGCCGTCAGGCAGTGGCACTAGCTCCCAGATGCGGTTCTGCTCGACGGACTTGAGCTCCTGCTCCATCGCCGCCCGCCACGCCGGATCACCCTGCGCCTCAGCGTAAGTGGTCGGCTCACCGACATGCGTCAGATGAAGCTGGGCGAGGAGCCTCTCGGGCTGGTCCGGTGAAGACTGGGCGCCGAGGATGCTTGCCACCGTGCGGTATCGCAGAGGCTCATCATCGTAGTAGGCGTCCAGGCGGTCTTCATCGTCCTCCAGCGGTGTGGCGTACTCGACCTTCGGCTGCCCTGCGTGCGCTGGTGTTGCAGCGAGCGAGGTAGAAGACGCCGAGGAAGTCGGCAGGTACGCTGGAGAGATCAGCTACGATGATGTAGAAGTCAGAGAGATTGACTGCGGTGCTGGAGAGGTCGGAGCTGCTACCGATGGACTACCGACCACCGCCGATGGGCTGCCGAGCTCCCACGGATTTGGTGATGGCGAACGAGACGGAATTGGTGAAGAGGTCGGCGCTGGTGATGAAGACCCATAGGTCGATGAAGATGCACCTTGGGCTTTCTCAGCACCTCTAGCCCACGCATACTCGACGGTGAAGTCGCGAAGCGCGATCGCCGACCATCATCCACCGCCTTGTCCCATGCCCAGCCACGTCCTTCATCGAACACGACGTCGCGCGCCACGCGCACGAGCCGTATCGCCGGATTGAGCACGCGGTAGGCCTTAGCCCCCTCTGCGTAGCCGATAAAGACCCCTAGCAAGCTGCGATCATCGAACTTGCCGACGTGGTTCAGCTCCTTGATGAAGGCGAGGCAGCTGAAGATGCGCAGATAGCTGACCGCCGGCTTGCGCCCGTGCCAGGCCTCATACGACGTCTTGCCATCGAGCGCACTGGACGAAGAGTGGTTGAGCAGGTGTACGGCGGTCATCACGGTCTCTCCCCAGTAGAACTCCGGCATGCCGCGCTGTTTGAGGAGCGCGCACGCCGCTGCCCCCACCGCCTGATTGCGTCGCTCGACCATGCCGTTCTGCTGTGGTGAGTAGGGCGCGAAGTAGTGGCGCTGAATCCCCTCGCCGGCGCAGTATACCGCGAACTCAGCTGCCGTGATTTCGCCGCCGTTGTCCATGCGGAGCACCCGGAGCTTGCGGCCGCACTCCTCCGCGGCTGCCTGGTAGCGCTTGATGGCGTCCACTGCTGCCGCCTTCGAATCGAGCAGCACGGCCCACATATAGCGGGTGGCGTCGTCGACAAGCAGTAGGAAGTAGCGCTGACCTCCGGGAGTGGTCTGTGACACTGGACCGTAGATGTCGCCGTGCACCAGCTCGAGCTGCTCATTGGCGCGGTAGGAGGCTTGACGCGGGAAGGGCCAGCGCTTCAGCTTGGTCACAACACAGGTGTCGTAGAGCTGATCGACGTGGTCGACGCAGGGCATGCCGCGAACCATCTCCTTGTTGCCGAGCTGCTTCAGGGCTTCGAAATGAAGGTGCCCAAAACGCTCGTGCCAGCGCCACGCCTCATCATCCCGGCGCGCAGTAAGACACAGGGGGTGCGTCACCTATACATGGAGCACATAAAGGCGGTTGCTTCCCCGGT